GAGTCTCAAAATTTGAAGAGTCAAACCAATTTTTTGTTCATAATGTACAATGATTGCATTTAATAATTCACAAAAATTTTAAACTATTCAAGCGACATTTAAGTTGATAGATCATTGATATATAAAAAAATGTGTTGAATAAAATGCAATGAGAAATCAATAACTGTTTCTTGAGAAAGATGAAGAGTCAATAGAGAATATTATTGAAGTGTGTAAATATTTTGACTCTTTAAATTTAAATTTAAGATACTTTCTATAATACATTAATTTTTATTTTATTTATTTATTAAATAAAGAGTCTTTTGTAGATGACCAATGTAGGCCTACCTTGTTCTGTCCCCAATTAAGACGAGTTATGATTAGCTCTTACTTTTAAAATATAAATGATATTTACCTGTTTGCACTTTATGTGCGAATTAAGGAATATTCTTTTCAATTTCTGAACAATCAACCAATAAATAGAAAATAATATTTTCAGACATTCAATTGGAGAGAGAGAGAGAGAGAGAGAGAGAGAGAGAGAGAGAGAGAGAGAGAAATAGAAAATAATATTTTTAGACATTCAGTTGGAGAGAGAGAGAGAGAGAGAGAGAGAGAGAGAGAGAGAGAGTGTGTCCCCAAAGAAAAGAAGAAGAATTAGAAATCCTCTTCTCTCTCTGAATCTGTGCATTTCTATATTAATATATGTATTTACCTGTATTTGTGTGTACACAAGTTTATTTATGTCATTCTTATCTCCAATCAAAGTTCTAAATTATTTTATATGGATAACAAAACTTTTATTTGGAGCTCAAAGAAGCAACCAATTGTTACTCTGTCAACTTGTGAAGTTGAGTATGCTGTGTTACACAAGCAGTTTGGTTAAGGAATTTGCTGAATGAGCTTCATTTTGCACAAAGAGAGCATACTGAAGCAAGTGCGGATAACAAATTAGCAATGAAACACATTGACTGGCAGCAATGAAAATCGGGAGGAAAATTTAGCAATGAAGCGGCAATCAGAAGCATAATTACATTTATTTCCTTACTTGGAAATAATCCCCTGTTTTGGCTACAACTAGGTAAGGAGGAAGATTTTTATTTACAAGAATATATTATCTTTATATGTGTGTATACGTACATATACATAGTAAGGAAGCAGATAGTAGAGAGATGAAGGGCTAAAAGAATTTGTATGAGCATTTTGAATCGAAATTGGAATTTGGTGCATAATTAGGTAATTATTGAACTGAGGACAGGTTTTTCTGAAGACGGATGGGATTATATAATCTGAATATATGAACTCATTTTTTTAAATAAGTGAATTTGCAAGATGATTAAAGAACAAGAAATCAATATTAAAATGGTCTTGGCCAGAATTTCATTGGTGTACAAATTTTGTAGTAATTGAGAAGAAAATGAATAAGTGATCTTGAAGTTGAAATGGGTTTGGCATTACATGTATGAGAGTGGGTATTTTTACTTTTAATGGTGGAATCAGGCGTAGGATAATACAGAAGAGGAGAAATTCAGGAAGGAAAAAGAACGATATTTTGGTTTTGAATTATTGTAGTCCATTCACGTTACTATTAACACAAATCGATTAGTTTATTTGTCTCATAATATGAAAAATAAAAGCATAAATTATTCATTATACAAAACATCTATTTCTTTCAATTTTTTTTCTCATTTTCACCTTTATTTTTCACCTTTTATTGCGAAAATCATTATTTTCATTCAATTTCGATTTAGTTCATGTGGAGGCTTCTCGAATGACTACACAAATTTAGTAATATGTCATTTGAGTTCGATTTGGTTGAATTGGCATATATTGATGCTAAACGGAAGAGGAGGACGGCAAGTTAAAGAAAGTTTTTTTTTTTTTTTTTTTTAACTCTAAATTTTTAATAATTTACTTGAGAATTGTTTGCACTTTTTTTTTTAAAGTTGGGATTATGGTTGCAATTAGTTCTTTGTTTTCCTTTTCTTTTTTTTTTTTTAATTAAATATGAGGGTATATTCGTCATTTAATAGGTTTTATTGAGAAAATTGGATGAAAATGATATAGTCTTCTTGATTTATTGCTTTCATTATTTTCATATGTAACCATGGCATCCTTCGCCACAAGTAAGGGCAAATTAATAAAATTTCGAAGGTACCACCCTCCTTTAAATAAGAAAAAGTGTTCTAGCAAGCATAGTATAGAGTATAGTATGGTTGATTATGGTCGCCAAAATCATATACTATTCAGTAACCGTGAAAGTTGGTCACCATAGAAATCGAAAAAGTTGAAAAAATAAGTGGGAATAGTGGCGTCAAGTATTCCAACAACCAATGAATTTGGTAGCTGAAATACACTAGCGACCAACATATGGTCGCTAGAACCTTGTACTAATTAGCAACCAAACATTTTGGTCGCTATAGAAGTCAAAAAGTTGAAAAGAATAAGTGGGAGTGATGGTGCCAAGTATTCCAGCAACTAAGTACATTTGGTTGTTGAAAGGCATACACTAGCAACCAATGTATGGTCGCTGAAACCTTGTACTAATCAGCGACCAAACAATTTGGTTGCTGTAGAAGTCAAAACGTTGAAAAGAACAAGCGGGAGTGATGGCGCCAAATGTTCCAGCAACCAACAAATTTTGGTTGTTGAAAGACGCCAGCGACCAATCTTTGGTCGCCAAAACCTTGGACTAGTCAGGGACCTACAAATTTGATCGCTATAGAAGTCAAAATGTTGAAAAAAATAAGCGGGAGTGATGGAGCCAATTGTTCTAGTGACCAAATAAAATTTGGTTGCTAAACTTATACAACCAGCAACCATACTCTGGTCCCTGGAACATTGTATTAATCAGTAATCACATTCTTTGGTCGCTGAAGAATCTAAAAAACGTGGAAAAAAAACAAGAGGAAGTAATTGCACCAAGTCTTTTAGTGACTAAACTAATCTGTTCGCTGGAACATTCTACCAGTGACCACTAGTTGGTCGCTGAATATTCAGTGACCAACATTTGGTGGTTGCGAGGAAATCCCCCCAGTGGTTACTGAACTTTGCAGAAAATACCCTATGAGGTCACCGAACTTCAATACGTCCCTAAATTGTCACTGAACTTCGCTGAAGTCCCTTAAGAGGTCACCAAACTTCAAAACATTCTTGAATGGTCACTGAACTTTGTAAAAAGTCCATGGGAGGTCACTAAACTAGTTATGTATGAGGTCCCAATTTGCAACATTGAGTGACCTCTTGGGGGGACTTCAGCAAAGTTCAATGACTATTTGGGAGGTCACTAAACTAGTTATGTATGAGATCCCAATTTGCAACATTGACTGACCTCTTGGGGGGTTTCAGCAAAGTTCAATGACTATTTAGGGATGTTTTGAAGTTCGGTGATCTCTTGAGGGACTTCGGCAAAGTTCAATGACTATTTAGGGACGTATTGAAGTTCAGTGACCTCCTAGGGGATTTTCTGCAAAGTTCAGTGACCATTGGTGAAAGTATATTATAGCAACAACTTTTTTATGGTCCCTGCAGTCCTTTTTCTGTAGTGTGTCTATAGTGACTTCTCATTCTCCATTTTATATAGTAGGAAAAATCTATTTAAATAAAATAAAAATCTATAAAAAAAAGTTTTTAAAATAAATAAAATCTTACTTTAAAAAAATATTTAGGAAAATAAAAAAATTTATTTTAAAAAATGTTTCTTTAAAAAAATAAAATGAAAGTTTTTTATAAAACGTATTTTCAAATAAATAAAATTTTGTTATAATAAAAGCTTATTTAGAAAAATAAAATAAAATAAAAAATTATTTTAAAAAACGTTTTTAAAATAAAAAGCTTTTATTTTTATTTATTAAATTTTATTTTACATATATAATGCAAAGTTAATATTTTAACCCCTTTTAAAATTAGTGAAAAAAAATTAGGTAATCATGGTGAAATGGTATATGACATTGGGGGTTATAGTGAAACGTTATATGAAATTTGGGTCATGATAACACTAAATATAAAGTTGAGTGACTGTGGGGAAACAAAATCAAATTGGTTGGTATAAAGTCAGATGGCCCTCGATGAATTTAACCCTTCACATAATGTCTCACCACTGACACCCAAGTTCATATAACATTTCACCACAACCGCTCAACTTATTTTGACCATTTTCACTCATTTTAAAAGGGGTAAAACGGAAATTTTGTATTATTAATATAATATAATTTTTAAAAATATATATAATAATTCTTTTTTAAAAAAATAAAAAATAAAATTATTTTAAAAGGGTTACTTAATAAAATACAATAAAAACTTATTCTAGAAGAAATATTTTCAAAATAAAACAAAAACATTTAAATAAAACTATTCCTTAAAAAGATAAATGAAATAAAACATATTTTAAAAAAAATTAAAGTAAAATAAAAACTGATTTAAAAAATTAAATAAAAATAATCAATTCTTAACCACTACTGCTCACGTGCTCAACTTTCCATAACTTTCTTCTCTCTGTTTTTTTTTAAAAACCATATTTAATAAGCAAATCAATCACTAACCTACCACCTACCAAGCATTTTACACGTGAGCTACGCAATCCAATGCATACTCAATTAATATTAATAACAACAACAACAACAATAACAACAACAACAGCAACAACAAAAACAACAACAACAACAACAACAACAACAACAACAACAATAATAATAATAATAATAATAATAATTTAAGGCTATATATTTGGACCTCGATAACTCAAACTCCACTAATCCAAATTAACTTTTTCTTGAGTCTAACATGCATGATTAATTGCGATCTATCTAACAAGTCCAAAATTCATATACTTATTATCACTCCGTCACTATCTACATTTTATCCCAAATAAAATTGAAATTTACTTTACATATACTTTAGTCCCTAAACTTTCAAAACATTAAAATATAGCATATAAACATTAAATTCTGTTCTACCAAAATTTTCAAGACATTACAACCTCCACTCCTTAAAAATATTTCCGTCCTCAAAATTTACCTTGACTAATTGAATAGCTCTGGATAATTGGTTCTAAGCTCCTCTTCCTTCTCCCATGTTGACTCTTCTCGTCTAGGATTTCGCCATTGCACTTTGACCAGAGAAACTTCTTTGTTTCTAAGTTGATGTACCTTTCTATCCAAAATAATAGATGGGATTTCTTCATATGATAGATCTTTTTGTACCTTCAGGGCTTGGTAACTTACCACGTGATTGGGGTCATGGACATATTTTCTGAGTATCGAAACATGAAATACATTATGCTCTGCTGCAAGTTCAGGTGGTAAGGCAAGTCGGTAAGCCACAACACCAATCCTTTCAAGGATCTCAAAAGGTTCAATAAATCGTGGTCTTAATTTTCCCTTCTTACCAAATCTCAATACACCCTTCATAGGTGCTTGTAATACTCCGAAATTTTATGCTGGTTTAAATTTCTTTGGGATAGCAATTTAACTTTCAATATTATTTTTGGCCATACGGTAAAAGGGGACAACACCTTTGTAGTGGTCAATGTTAGAGGTAGTTAATGAATGTAGGCATGAAGCGTCAAGGTTGTGTATACATGAAGTGGTTAATAGTTAGTCGAAACTTAAGGCAAGTTTGGATATAAATGAAGTGGATTATTTTGTTAGGGCTTCAATTGACCAAATGATTAAATTATGTTACAATCTACAATTTTTGAATATGTAAGTTGGGTACAAGTTTAAATTTGGGGTACACTATGTTAACAATGAAAGTTAGCGGGTTTAGATTACATTAGTTGAAAAAATGAGAGGTTTCCTTTGTAAATCTAGGTTTTAAGGCCACTTATTACCCTATAATCAACCCACTTGTCCTCCATCATCACCATACACTTAGATAGTAGACCAAACATGTGTACAAGTAAGAAAAAAAAAAGAAAAATGGGAGAAAAGAAGGGGTGAGGCGGTGGGAAGTAGGGGTGCACACGGTTCGGTTTGGACGGTTTGTGACAAATTTTCAAACCAAACCACTTAAAGCAGTTTGAAATTTTTTCAAACCTAACCAAACCAATTCAATTTTCGAACCAAACCAATCCAAACCACCTTTTTCGGTTTGGTTCGGTTTAACGAAAAAAATGTACATCGAGCAAGTTAAATCATAAATTTTAATCTTAAATATCACGTTAAAATATAAATATTAGTATTATTATAAATACTATCAACAAATATTTTTCAGTTCTAATAAGTGAAACAATTTGTTCTAACCTCTTAATCAATACTAATTGGCAAAACATCTCCAGTAGTAACCCATGATTCGTTATCTGCATATAACAAATATATGCATTTATTAAAATTAAATGGTGTAAAAAACTATAAAATAAAGTGAATAGAAAGATAAAATACGATAATACCTTCTATAGCTTTTTCTGAATCATCCAATGCGTCTACTTCATCCAAATATTGACGAATCACAATAGGTTCCTTGTTATTATGTAACCAATTCTTAGTGCAAATCACTGCCTCAACCATCTTTGCACTCAATGAACTCCTAAAGGGATCGAGAATCCGACCACTAGTAGAGAATGCAGACTCAGGAGCAACCGTAGATATTTGAATGGCTAACACATCTTTGGCAATTTGGGAGACAATCTTGAACTTATTTTCATTCAATTTCCACCAATTTAATATGTCGAAATCATCATTGGTCAAATCTTCACAACGATCATTTAAATAATCCACCAAATCATTCTTCTCTACTTGAGTTTCTTGCATAAGCCTAGCTCTAAAAATTGAGGGAACAGGTTTAGAAGTTCCCAAAGTAGTTTGTAAAGCACTTTGGCTTCTAGGTTGAGTAGCATCCTTAGGTGAGACTAATGGTGGAGTCATCATTTCCTTGTAGCATTCATATAACCTGTGAAACGTGTTTTAACTTTTTTTAACAACATGTTTGCAATTTGTACATCATAAATAAGTTCAAACCCAACTTTAAGTAATTCCAACTTGCATCTAGGGTCAAGAATTGTTGCTATGAACAACAATTGATTAAACTTTTCAAGATATCCCCAATACTTACCATATTTTCTTCTCATGCTAACTGTCATAGATCCTATCATACTATTTGGCTCTTTAGCTAATTTATTCAACTCCGCATGAATTTCACACATTTCTTGAAAGAAAGTGTTTGACGTTACATATAAAGAGCCACTAATTTTCAATGTCATATCATAAAAAGTCTTCAAGAATCCAACAAATGCTTCTGCTTGGTCCCAATCGACATGTGTTGGTGGTCCATCTATATTTTTCCCATTAGACCTTTCTTCATCAAAGTACTTTGTATAGTTCGCATCACTTTCCAAAACATCAAATGCTTTTTTAAACTTTATTGCAGCCTGCAACATCATGTAGGTGGAATTCATCTAGTTGATACATCCAAACACAATAAACCTCGAGACTCAATATTTGCATCCTTGCAACTCTCTCGAAATCTTTTTAGTCGTGCTGGGGAAGATCTAGCATATCGTACAACGTTGCGAATAGATGAAATAACATTGCTAATTTCTTTTAAACCATCACAAACTATAAGATTAAGAATGTGGGCACAACACCTCATATGAAGCATTTCTCCCCCACGAACTAGACTATTCTTCTTCTCTAGAAAACAACTATTCAATTTCATTATTGCTACGTCATTAGATGAGGCATTATCAACCGTCACACAAAAAATCTTATTAATTTCCCAATCCTGAAGGTAAGATATCAATTCCTTTCCTACCGTATCACCCTTATGGCTGGGGACTTGGATGAAACTTATGATTCATTTTTTAAGTCTCCAATGAGCAGTCAAACACATGTAACTTACATTTTGTATAGATGTCCAACAATTAGTAGTCAAACAAACCCGGTGTTTACTCAATTCTTTCCTCAATTTCTTCTTCTCATCAAGAAACAAACGATATATATCCCTAGCAACTGTCATCCTTGAAGGAAAATCAAAAGTCGGAAAAAAATACCTTGTATAACACTGAAAACCTTCACCTTCAACGTGTCGAAAAGGTAACTCGGATAATATAAAGTACTTAGTAATCTGTTGTCTCACCCCTTTTTGAGTAAACTTGACAAGTTGTCCACTACTACTAACACTCTCTAAAACCTCATCATTTCTAGAGTTATCATAGAAATTTAATATCTTTCGCCTTTTGTCTTGAAACATATATGGATATTTTTTGCATAAATCCTCGATATGATTTCGCAATGTACTAGTCCCACCTTTAGATTGATGCTTATACACTTGTCCACAATAATTGCATTCTACAATTCCATCATTCTTTATATCAAAATGAGCCCACACATCGGACCTTTTATGTCCCTTCTTACCCATCACACTTTGTTACAAATTCACATTTTCACTCTTTACTGGAATTTTATCATCGGTCCCATGATTACTTTGCTCTTCTAAAGTCGAATTCATATCCGATTATCTACATACGAAAAAAATCATGTTATTCAACATGATGTCAAAGTTAATATACAAAAGAACAAAAGATTTCAAGGCAGGCCCCCCACCTGCAACAGTTTGTAAAGAAACTCATAATCAATTATGAAATACCAAAAATGCTTGAATATAGTGTGTTTTTTATTTTATTTTATTTTTTACCACAAGAATAATTGAATAAACAAAAAAAGATAAACACAATGAGCTGAAATGCAAGTACAACTAGACATTTTGCATGTTTTGGCTAAACTTATTTTGGGCCAGAATCTTGCCTCCCTAAGCAAAAATCTCATGGTTCCAATAACCATCTGGCGGAGAAGATTCTTTAATACACACATTTCAGTTATATATAATATTAAGCAGTATAGTAGACCAACAAGGTGTTCTTTTAACCAAACCCCTGCTGAGACAAACGGGTACTAAGGACACGAGGAATAGCTGCAGGGAGCCAACTAAATACTTCTATTTGCACCTCCTCGAATTCAAGTGTAAAATCATTATCAATACCTTGACCGTCTTCTATAATAATCTCTGTTTTATTATTGGGAATTACCTAACAAAATTCAAATGAGAATTGCAAACCCAGTAATCTTCCATACAACATCATAACATGTCTCAATAAAACAATAAGACAGCAGAATTATTATTGTAATAACAGAAACCTCATTCATATATAAAATAAAGAAATTATTTTACCAAGATAATTATGAAAAACTCACCAGAAATGAAAGACCTAAGATCTGTTTAATGTCTCTTTATCATCCAAATAACATTTGATTACAGTATGCTGGTAAATATTAGGCCAGGCAGAACAACATTCATATTCATGGAGCAAAACCTTTTTTCCAATTTTCAAATCAATATAAAAAGAAATTAAGAAAATAAGTAGAAAATTAACAAACAACACTCCCTACATGAACATGAATTAAAATAAAGAATCAATATATAAAAATATAGATCGTAGAAATTCACATACCTTTGTTGTTAGAATTTGAAAAAGGGAGAAATAACCTATAAGTTACAAAGTCGAAAAATTGAAGAGTTGAAGAACCACGTTTCACGTTTGAGGGCTGGAGTCTTGGAGTTGGGTAATTATCTAATTGAGTATTTTGTTAAGTTGGGTATTGAATTTAATTTTGAAACGGTTTGCAAAAATTCAAACCTAAACCAAACCACTTCAAAGCGGTTTGGTTTGGTTCAAAACCAAAGTGTTGACGGATCCACGTGGATCCAAACAAACGGTTTCAAAAAAAGGGTTTCGGTTCGGTTTGGCGGTTTGACGGTTTTGTTGTTCAGCCCTAGTGGGAAGAGAAAAAAAAAAAAAAAAGAAAAAAATATCAAGCTTTTATCCTTATCTTTATATAAGTATAAATACATCCATATCCATTGCATTAGAAAGATTCCCTTCATTTCACAAAACACTTATACACTTTAAAAGAGAGCAAAAAAACCGAAATTAAGAAAAGAAAGGAGAAGGAAGTAAGTTTAGCATTTCCAATACATTTCAATCGAAGATCTTCAAATTTTACGGTAAGATACTTTCCATGCTTAAGAGTTATGATTTCATGGTAATATTTATGCTTAAGCTATGCATGAAAAATCATAATATGATTATGCTAGACAAGTCCACAAAGTTAGATATCTATTTATGCCTTAGGACAAGTTCAAAGGGCACCGGCAAGCCGGAATATGCAAGTATAGGTTTGATTGTATTCTTTTGTGTGGTATTATCATGATAAAAATCCAAGCATGGTATCTTACTAAGTATTTCTTATACTCATAGTATGTTATGCTAAATTTTCAGATCCATGATCATTTGAATTGATGGAAGTTAGTTGGCTTACGCGATGATGGATTAAGGACAACGAAGTTTTGTACCGAAAGTTTTATTTTGTGTGTTTTGTTCGATGACAGTTTTCCATCTATTTTTCTTATGGTATTATGTAAAAATATGTACATGACATGATGAAATATGGTATTAATAGTAAATTTTGTAAATTATATCTTTCATGTTATGTAAAGAGACATTTTTGTAGTTTATTTTCCTTACAAGAGACAAAAGGCAGAAACGGGACAGTTTCTGGAGTCAATTTCAAAATGATGTTTCTAACTCCATAAACGTCCATTTGATATTCTAAAAATATGTCTGTTTTCCTCTTTGAGTTTTCTAAATGTGGCCGAAGGAATCACTCAATTTGGATATCTATGGCCTGAGTTATCAAGGTTTTAACGTCTAAAGGTCAATCTGGATTTCCTGTATAATACTTCACTGTTTTCAGTAAAACGTCTATATCATATGATCTTGGAAAATTTTCATATTTTAACCTAGAAAACTACTTGAAATTATCTTTCTAATGCCGCAAATTTCATGTGAAACAGAGTTGGGATGAATTTTATAAAAATTGTCAAACTTGCTGCCTCAACTAATCTTGATAATGCCGAGGCTGTATATGTAAAGTATAATTTATTGTTGACATGCTCTTTTGTCGGCTATCAAATTTTATAAGAATTTTTTTTATCAAATTGAAAAAATAAGTTTCTAACATGTAATACTTCTATTTAAGAGTATTTACAGGTACCAAAGGCAGAAGTTATCATGTTTAGTACGTGACCCTCGAAGCTTCAGTTCGGGGCGTCACAGCGCTACTTTAAGAAAAACTCTGTCGCCAACACTAAATTCCAAATTCTTCATTCTACCATCAGCATAACTTTTTTGTCGGTCTTGTGTTGTCTTTAATCTGGCTCTAATCTTATCAACTGCCTCAACTGTTTGTTGAATGATTTTAGGACCCAAAATTCTGTTTTTCCCGGCCTCGTCCTAATTGATAGGGGATCTACACTTTCTACCATAAAGAGCTTCATATGGGGCCATACCTATAGTGGCCTGGAAACTATTGTTATAAGTAAACTCCACTAAAAGGCAGGTATGTCTCCCAACTATCCCCATATCCAAAATACATGCCCTCAATATATCTTCCAGAGTTTGGATGGTTCTTCTTGACTGTCCATCCGTTTGAGGTTGATAAGCAGTGCTAAACTTCAGTTTCGTCCCCATGGCTATTTGTAAACTTTTCCAAAATTTAGATGTGAACTTCGGGTCTCTATTTGAAACGATGGAGATTGGGACTCCATGTAATCTGACTATCTCTTTGATATATAAATGTGCGAACTGTTCCATGTTGAGGTTTACTTTGATTGGTAGAAAATGGGTTGACTTCGTCAGACGATCCATCACTACCCAGTTAGCATTGTGACCTTTTGCTGACCTCGGAAGCCCTATCACAAAGTCCATCATTATGTGTTCCCACTTCCATTCTGGAATATCCAACGATTTCAGTAGTCCTGATGGCCTTTGATGTTCTACCTTGACCTGTTGACAGATAATACATTTTTCAATGAGTACACCAATTCCTCTCTTCATGTTTCTCCACCAAAATGTATCTAGGAGATCTTGACACATTTTCATACCACTTGGATGTACCGAATACAGGGTGGAGTGAGCCTCTTCCAATATCTCATTTCTTATACTCTCATCCTTAGGTACACACAATCTTCCTTTAAAAGTAAATGTTTTATTTGCAGATACTTCAAACCCTATACGCTTGTTTGTACCAATCTTAGTCTTTAACTTTTGAAGAAATGGATCCTTATCTTGCTCTTCCCTAATTCGATCCCCAAGTGTAGGTTGAATCATAAATGCTTTAATCATCGCTGTAGTCTGAGTCGGCTCTGTGATAACTTCTACTCTTAGTTTCTCAAAGTCCCTTATCAAGTATTTTTAAACCGCGGGTAGAACTGCTAACTGTGATCTTGTCTTTCTACTTAGGGTATCTGCAACTACATTAGCGTGACCCAGATGGTAATGAATTGTGCAGTCATAATCTTTCACTAACTCCAACCATATTCTCTGTCTCATATTCAGTT